TCTTACTCACTTCTTCTGCTTGGTGAGGCTGCTGTGACAGTAGCTGGAGGTGTGACCTGAAGTAGAAACCTCCAGGAACACATGGTGGGAGTTGACATGGTATTTGAAGGTTGAGCTGCTTTGGTGAAACTAATTGTTTTCTCACAATGTGTTTAAATAACAACATATATGTCCAGGGTTTGCCACTTTACATAGTGAGTGAATGTGGAGAGAGTGAAACAGAGAAAAATGGAACAAAATCCCCTGAGAAAAGAAGCAGAGTCTGAGGATGTGATGTCTGCAGCTGAGAAACTCCACTGTGTTAGGAATTCACAGACTGATGTAGCATCAGCCAATGGGGGGGATGTAAACAGTTGTCTCGATGATGTTAGAGAATTCTTTAATCTCTCTTTATCAGTGATGTGCACTGGGTTACATGATTTGTTAAGCACAAACATTGCCAGTCCACAGACAGCTGCAACAGGCACCTCCTCGGACGACACCATCTTGAAACTTGTCTGTGTAGGTTTTCAGCCATCCATTCAGTAACATCAATTTTTTTACAACCAAGTGGAATATAACTCTGATAAACTCTCTCACTAAAGTCTTAGAATAAAAGCATAACTTAACCTTAAACTTAGAAATAGATTCCTTGTCCACCATAAATAGAAGGTAGTGCTACGCAGATTATATATAAAGAATTACAGTTGAGGGTATTGGAGAAGGAGTGAGGAGGCGTGGTGAGAGCGCGTGTGTGTAAGAGGAAGAAGAATGAAAGGAGAAAAAGGCGATTTAGGAGAAGCCGGATTGAGGTCGGCCGATATTATCGGACATCCCTCGTGCAAAGCAAAACTGGCGCGGTTTTAACACTGGTCTAGTGTCTGTGTCTCTTTAGGGGCGTTACAGTCTGTTGTAGTCACAGGGCGACTGTATTGCCCTCATTTGGAGCAGAATAAAAAGAAAATTAAGGATTTTTTTTCTGTTTCTTCTGAGTCAACATTTCATCTTTTTAAATTTGTTTCTTTTGATTTCACCTTAAATACAGATTCTTCATTATTTGCTGCTGATGCCTGCAGTAATGCATAAGTAGACAAAGTATTTACCAGTTCTGTTGTGTATTTATGGAAGATGAGATTTACTCCACCTTTGTCTAACTTTTCAGTCGGTCTTTTGTTTGAGTGTAGTTACTAGAGGTGACATCTTTCTCCTTTTCAAGATGTGCTGCACAATTTTAATTTTTGGTTTGGTATGACGACCATGGCTCTTCTTTTTTTCTTCTTTTCACCAAAATAGTTTTAACAGTGGTATGAAACACATACAGTACATGCACTTACAGCATCCCATAATGTCGTTTAAAGATTCTTTTGACCACTACCTATTTATGTTTTCTTCTTTTACAGACATTGTCCACAACAGTGAGCAGCAGAATCATGTAAGTCTATGTTTGCTTAAGTCTGAGTTGAGTGTGTGGAGTTTCGTTTCCGTGACGTTTGTCTTCACACCTTGGACGTGGTTTTTCAGAGAGACCAAGTTGCGCCTTTGACAACTGTCGTCTTTACTGCTGTGAGAAACGACACAGGCAGTACAGACAACTTAAAAGATTTGAGAAGCGGTTAAAAGTTTTACATCGTCATGGAGTCAAGTTCCTGCCAGTTCTCATCTAACCCTAACCCAAGATATAAAATAAAATAAATGTAAACAACTTTATGTCACTTGTGCTAGAAGGGCATTTTAATTGGAAAAATAATGCAGTCAATATCTCTTAGTATTTTACTAAAGGTTTAACTTAACTTGAACTAAGTATAGATAATTAGTTGCAGTGTGGCTAATTTCATTTAAAATTATTATATTAATTCTATTTATTCTGTGATTATTACAAGTTCATTTGCAGAAGTGAAACACTGCGTAAATCTGCTTTGACTAAGTGAATAAAAACTTATATTTTTATCGTTGTTTTTTTTTTTACAACAACTAGTTCTCTGGTTGTTGTAAATACATTATGTACTTTGTATTTTGTTTTTCTACAAATACTCTTTTCCAACCTGTTCCCTCAGTTTGATGGCAAAAAAAAGATCTAAAACACAGAGAAGAAAATCTTAAATATGCTGTCAGGTATTAGGAACATTGCCATTACAACAAATCTGAATGGTAAAATGTACTGCTTAAATCTGCACATACACATCTTACTGTGTCCTTCTGCCACGTTCCTTATTGATCAACAGCAAGCGTCTGTTGCTCAAGAGCAAAATGTTCATTTTTTAAGCTCTACGACAGAGTACAAACACTCAGATGGAACTTTTCTGCTCTTCTCCTTTGTTTTAGTCATTTTCCTGGCTGGAAACCTCAGTGCCACATAGTTCACACTCCCAGCCTCATCCTCCTGTGAAGAAAAAAAACAAACAAAACCAAAAATAACCGGTGTTATACAATAACTGCACAGCCAGGGTCAAAACATTTGCATATTCTACAGTTTAAATTTAATTAACATTTTTAAAATTATTGTGACCTAAAATAAAGAGACACCGAGAACAAATATGCACTTTGATGCACTGGGTCGTGTTTCATTGCATCTGGATAACATTTTGAGCACAAACACAGTCACAAATAGGATGGCCTTGTAACAACCTAGCTGTGAGCTCAAAGGAAACAGAACAATGAGTCCAGTTGGATCTAGACCTTCACCAACATTCTGTCTTTTTTTATTACAGCACAGACACACTGGACCATATTTTACACGTCTGCCATGATGATTGTAAATGAGTCAGTCAGAATGTCTGACTATACAGAGGCAGTGCTGTGGTTTTTATGATTTGCTAACTCACTAGTGTACATGTTACAGAGCAACACGCGTTACTGCTGATTCCTCGCCTCCATTTTTAGACTCAAACAGTCTCTGTTTACCATTTAACCACATACACTGATCTGCGGTGAAACTAATAGTAAAATAGTTACCACAGTGTTTGAGTGATCCAGACTTGAAACATCAGGACTGGATGCAATTGCACCATCTGTAAAAAAAAGTAAATACATAAATAAAACAATTTGCTGGTTTATGAAGGGACAAAGTACAAGTTAAGTCTGGTTTTAACAAATGTGACTCTGATTATCGTGGTCCGCGGATAATAAGCTTTTTCCCAGATTTGAATGTATTGATTTGAATGTAAATGTTAAACCTTTGCTTATGGTTTTATCACTGGAATATTGCAGAACAACAATGTGATAAGAAGTATATTCCATTACAAGTATGTTTTACAGATGTTTTACAATTACTAATTTGTTCCATGGCCGAGCTCGTAACTCTTATATCTTGTATATATCTGTCGTATCTTGTATCTTTTGTTCCATGGCCGAGCTCGTAACTCTTCGTATCTTGTATCTTGTTTTCCCATAAGAAATAACAGAAAAAATATTAATCCATTCCGGCCTTCTAAAAAACTCCCTTATTAGTGCTAATAACAATGGGAAAAACATATTTTTAATTGCTATAGAGACATACACACACAAAATAATATCGTATTCTCTTTACCTTTGTTGTGTTTGCGAATTCTCCTCTGAAACTTTATAAGAAAGAAGACAAGGACAAGGATGGCGGTAACACAGCAGACCAACATAATCCCAAGTAGAAGGACAAGTGGCTGAAGTTTTGGCGCTAGAACAAGAAAAAATAATTCTGAACACATAAGAAGCACTGGATTTGATGAAGTCAATGACAGAAGGTGAAATCACTACTTACTTGTCACCACTGTCTTTTCACTAAACAAGACTGTTCCACAGGTGACCACAGCACAGAGGTATGTCCCAATGTCCAAGGAATCTTGAATCTTTGTGGACAGACTGTAGCGACAACAGTTCTGTTCCCTTGAATGTAAATAAGGCCAGGGTGAGAGGATCCTGTTTCAGATCTGAACCAGTAAACCTCGTCCACACCTGGACACTGCACACTGTTCAGTTTGTTCTCGGAGAGAAGAGAACACTGAAGGGACATCTGGTCTCCTTGTTGGATGGACACTATCTCTGGAGTCAGTTTGACACTAAGGTCCTGCTGGTTTTTATCTGTAAAACATAATCATGACTTTTAACCTAAATGTTAAATGTCAAATTCTTTATTTTTGCATCAGTAGTCGGTACTTAACAAATAGATTATAATGTATTTTTTGTATACTTTTGCATACATATTTGAAAATTAATTAGACTTTAGTCTATTTATTAGTATTACATATCTAGTTTTAGACTTAATAATTACCATTGAGATCATCAAAGCCATAAATGAAAGATGTTGGTTAAGATGTACTCAGTACTTAACAAAACATATATTTATATTTTGTATGCTTTAAATGAACGTTTTTCTTCTTTTACATTTATAACTTTAACTAAGGCTAAAATTAAATATAGTTAAAGTTCATGCTTACATTTACTATTTTGGTTTGGATTGATGTTTGTTTACCATCCCAACTTAACTTTTTACTGCAAAAAAAGTTTATTGTATTTTTAATAAATATTGTTGTATTATATTGACATTTTTCAAAACATGGAAATGAGGAAAATGATGCTCGTATTTGTGATATCCTCGTGTGTTTAAGAAACAGTAGAAAGAAGATATTTTACCAGTCACAGCCAAGAAGATGCCGCTGGCAAAACTGGGTCTGAACATTGTTCCACTGAAACAAAAGTATGTCGCTTCATCGTCTTTGCTGACATTTCTGATGGTGAGAGTACAATCCTTTCCTGTTGAGACTGTGATACGAGAGTCATTGGTTCGCTTGGACGATTCACGGTTGTCCACATTCAAAGCAACAGTATCCATGGTATATCCAAGACGCTGCTTATACCAGTGGAAAATCTTGCTGTGACATGGACTTGTCAAAGTAACATCTTCACCAGGTTCCACCACATTTATAGAGACCACAAGAGGAGCCTCTGTGCTTCCAGCCAAAGCTGAAGAAGAAACAAATAAACAATAAAGATCATTCTTGAATAAATCATTAAAAGTTGGCTTTGACAAAAGTAAACTGTAACCGAAAAAAAACAAAAAAAAACTATTGGACACTTGGTAATCACACACTTACCCTCTGTACTGAGGAAAATCAAAGCAGTTACTGCTACAATCATTGTGGTGCAGCTGTGTTTTTTGACCTACTCGTGGTATTCCATTTAAATGGTGGGTTTAGTACCAACGTCATCAAGAGTTTAGGACAAAACATCCTGATTGGCTCACATTATGAGAAACATACATTCTCTCTGTTTTTCAGACTTAAGTTCCTCCTACAACATGAACCCAGTTAAGTTGCACTCGGAAAATTTAAAAAAATTAAATTTAAGACCACTGCCAATAGTACCATTAATGTTTGTCCACACTCTACACCTGTATGAGGCATGTCAAATGGTTTTAAAACAAAAGTTGTTTAAAAATTGGTATGCTCATGTAGAGAGTTGGAGACAATAGTAAAATGTAGAAACCATGGCACAAATTAGATAGAAGAAAAATAGACAGTGCTATTATATATGCTATTATATATTTTTTTGTATTTATTACTTTTTCATTTATTTTAATTCATTTATTATTCATCCGTTGGTGCTCATATCACTACAAGGCTATGACATGCTAGGCAACTAGGTGGCGCCTCGCATTTGTGGTAAAATGAGATTTACGCGAAGACAGGAAGAATAAATCCACCAGCAAAACGTGTATCTCCTGTGGCATGACATTTTAATATTAAAACGCCAAGCTCAGTTTTGCCTAGTCAAAAAAAAAAAATCGGATATACGCAATGACATTCTTCCTATCCATAATTGCCAATTAGAAATCCACGACGATGTATGATGAAAGTGTGTTTGATCGTCAGTCTAGAGAAAAGACTAAATGTATGGGTGAAAAATGCGAGTGTGAATCAATTACAATCTTTAGTATCCTCAGTTCACAAAGGAATCAAAATAATTTACTGGAGAAAATAGGATGTAGTTCAGCGATCAGTTTGCCAAAGTCACACTGCTGGTGTAGAGGACACTGAAAATTAAATTTAGTTGAGAAGTAAACCTCTATGCTAGGCCCTTGGGCTGATGGTGACTTGAAGGGCTGAGTGTACTAAGCTATTTCCTTGTTTCATTGCCATTAGTCAAAAGACGTGGTCAGAGGGTGGAGAAAATGCACCCTGCAGTAGAGCTGCTGTTTGTGGTTTGACCTGTTTTCCATTGCATACAGGCCTTGATTACATAAAAAAAGAAAAGAAAACTCAAGTGCTGCAACATTTAATACTATATTTGTGGATATAACTTCAGTTAAATAAGTCAGTTTGAAAAACTACAATTACACATCGTATTTAATTTACTAACCTGCAACTAAAAACGAGTGAAAAAACTCTCTCAAAACGTATCTTTTGAGTTTCACGACCACAGTCAAAGGAATGAACAAGGAAGAGAACAGTAATAGACTGAATAACATTGTTACTCCTTGTGTTACTGGTGCCTTTGAAAAAGGAAAGGAAGGAAAGTGAAGGTTGAGGAGTGAGGCAACTGGACGTGAATTTTCTAAAAGAAGACGTTTCACCTCTCATCCAAGAGGCTTCTTTAGTTCTAACTGGTGGAGGGGAGTACAACAAATATATCCTCTGGGCGTGAAAGAATAAAGCTACTTCAGCTCCCCCCTGTTGGGTGGGGCCTTGGGGTCAACTGTGAAAGTGTAAACAGTCGTTAAGAGTCTGATAGGTCGTTGTGGTCCTCATCAGAAAGGTTTCGGTCACCTGCCTCTTTGTTGTGTGAAACTGAGGTGAAACTTTTGGGTATTGTTCCTAAAAGTGCTTTGTAAGTGGGTGATAGGTTGTGTCTGAGTCCACCTCCTCTGTTGAGTGATGGTTTTTCCAGGTTGACAAAAATGGCTTCTTTTACCCCTCTCTCAAACCATCTGTCTTCCCTGGCCAAAATGTGCACATTGTTGTCCTCAAAGGAGTGTGTTTTGTCCTTGAGGTGTATGTGAACAGCTGAGTCCTGTCCTGAGGAGTTGGCCCTCCTGGAAAGTGAACTCCTTGTCATTGTGACACAGCACACCACTGCACACAACCAAATGTGACCTCTGCTTTTAACTCATCACCAACGTGAACAGTGGGCAGCTTTGTGGGCACGGTGCCTTGCTCAGAGCACCTCAGTGGCAACTTGGCAGGTGGTAGACTCGAACCTGAAGCCTTCCGGACCCACTTAACCACTAGGCCACCTCTGCCCCTAGCGGTGGCTTAAGTTCTCCCCAAAGTGCAAATACCAGACCACAAACAAAGCAACGTTGTGTCTGTAGTACAGTGTAGTGAGGTGTGACCTGACCTTTACCTTAGAGACCAAACAGCCAGAGTACAAACGCAGCAGAGCTCTTCAGGCCAGGACTCAGCTGTTCATCTGCAGCTCAAGGACAATGTTACTTTTAAAAGGTGACTAATTATAGTTACTAGTAACTTCTCCCAAAGAGTTTTTCTAAGCAGATTTTACGAGCCAGAACTACACAGATAGGTACTTACACAGAATTTTTAAGTATTTATTGCATCTCAACAGACAACAACTGGCAGACTTACTGCCCTAAAGTATATTCTTAAAAACGACGTGGCTCGGTGCCCTTCTTTGCTAACGTTAGCCACACCTGGCCCACTAGCAACATCAACAGTGTCAACAACAGTTGTTTGATGTTTTTGGCCACTAGTTTTGTAGAAGCGTGTGCTGTTAAGAGAAACTTTATTAACGTAGAGTTACTTACAACGGACATGGACAAACAAAAAATCTAATGTACACCTCACACCAACTTTCCCTCCAGACTCACTAGTGCGGCTGCTTACCTCTGCTAGTTTAGGTGTTTGAGCCGGCTGTGATTGATTTTGTGTAAACACTGCCTCTGAT